GACGGGCCGGTCGCGCCGCTCCGCTCCGCTCCGCACCAGCCGCGGGGGCGCGCACGGCCGCGGGCACGCGCCCTGCCTGCAGCCGCCCGTTGCCACGGCAACCGGGATGGAGCCGCTGCCCGCAAAGGCTGCAAGAGCCGTCGGGGGAGGCGGGGGGGGGGGGGCTGCGCGCAGACCATGGCCGGCACCCTGGGGGGGGGGGGGGGGGGGGGTGCAGAGACCCTCAGCGCCCACCCATGGGGTGCTGCGGGAGCATCGCTGTCGCTGCGGGCTCCGTTAGGGCCACGAGCGGGGTCCTTCCCCCCTTAGGCTGCACTGCCGAGAGGCTCCTTGGGGGGCTGTGAGAGGATGCCCCGGGGTACCCTCGTCTTCGGCCGCTGTCCCTCCCGCACAGGGCAGAGCAAAGCGCTCCCTCCTCTGCTCCCCTGGGCGCTCTGCCGCCTCCATGGCCCCGGGAAGGGGATGCAGGGAGGGATTTGGGGCTGAGACGCAGTTTCTGCAGGAATAAACACCCCAAAAACGCCTCCAGAGGAGCAGACGGTGCTGCCTCCGTGCCAAATGTGCCAGCGGGGAAAGGCTGGCAGGAAAAGCAGAGGCTGTCCTTCCCACTCAGCAGGGCTAGGGAATGGGGTGATGGGGTGACAGGGGCTGCACCCCCCCTAAGGCTTCTTTGAGACCACGGAGCCAGGCAGCTCCTTCCCCACTGCCATCTGCCTGCTCCTGAGCACAGAGGTTCGCGCCTGGGGTCAGTGGGGCTTGGCACAGGATGCACATCCCCGAGTGGAGCAGAAGGCTGGAGCCGTCCTGCCCCACGGCTGGGGATGCTGCGGAGCCAGGGGGACGCAGATGGGGGGTGCAGACAGGCTCTGCCCCTCTCAACTGCCCCTGTGCACCGGGTCTGCGCTTGCCCCAGCTCGCGGGTGATGTCAGGGAAATTAAGAGCCAGCAGGAGGGGAAAGCTTCCAGCCGAGTAACCGAAGCCACAATAATGAGGCTGCCGGGGGCCGCTGCCGCCAGGATCGGGTTGCCCAGAGAATGTGACCCGGTCCCAGGAGGCTCCGACGCCGGCTCAGCTTTCCCCTGACAAGCGCCTTCCACAGCTTAATGAAGCTCGATGGGGCCCCATCCTGCTCCTTCCAGCTTCGTGCCATCCAAGGGTGTTTTCCCACCTCACGAATGGACTTCCTGCCCCCAAAGTGTTGCATTCCCAGCTGCAGCATGTGGGACCCCAGCAATGTGATGCTCCCCGATCCCAACATGTGAGCAGGCATGGGCTGCGGTTCCTGCTGGTGCCAGGGCATCTTTGCCCGTTGGCATTTCAGAGCAAGGAACTGGAGGGTGCTGATTAACTGGGCATCATCCTGCATGCAAGGAGCTAGCGGTTCTCAGCACAGGGTTGCTGCAGTGCAGAGGAGCAAATGTTGCTCTGCAAGAGGGTGATAGGGGGGACTCAATGACTTGGGAGGGCTTTCCAGTGCTGACAGCCCCACTGCCACCAGTTTGTGGCAGATGTGGCCCATGCAGGTAGGACTGACCCAAGTCTCCTTCCCCAGCAGCTCAGTGGAACCTGCCTCCACAGCATGAGGCTCTTGCAATGGCATCTGGTTCCTTCACCACAAACTTTCCCCTGGCTCTTGCTATCCCATTGCTTACTACTCCTCACGACAAGTCATTTTCCCCCTGTAAAAGAAGTTTCCTTGTGGGAAGCAGCAGCCAGCGTTGGCAGGAAATAAGCCCTGATTTATCGTGCCACTCGCCACTCTGAAATTACGGCTCTGTGAGCACCATGGCAAGCTGAGAGCAGCAAATCAGCCCACACCGTGCTCTTGCGGCTGCCAGCAGCCTGCCTGCGCAGCAAGCTGGTGCGGGCAGGGGAGGAGAGAAATGCCACCAGCTATCAGCCGTCCTGCCCATCACCCAGCCACAAATGCCAGCTTTTACATGAATAAGGGGGGGGGGTGTTCCACAGTGGCTTCATCCCAGCAAGGAAAGGAAAATGCATTTCCTAAACCATAGCAGAGCCCCCTGTTCTGGTGCTTTCTGCTGAGCCAGCTGGGGCTGGGAGCAATGGGAGAGCCCCCAGTCCATGGGAAGGCTGCTTGGGGTTGGGAGCAAAGAGGCCCAGCATCCTGCTTATCCTGAGCTCATCCATGGCTTCTCCCTGCCCCTTCCCACTCAATACCAGGGGCAAACAGGAACATTAGGGCATCTGGCTGCCCTCAGGGCTTATGGGGCCAGACGGGGCCAGGGCCCCTGCGCTTGCCCCATGCCCAGGATGTGCCCCCACCGCGGATGTGCCGCCGGTCCCAGGAGCCTTCTGGGGCTTGCTGAGAGAACGCAAGTGAAGCTATTCTGCATCTCTAATTAGCAGCGAGGATAATTGGCCGCTCTGCAGCCATCACACAGAAAGGCAGCCATTGTGGAGGGCTCCAACGCGGGGCAGGTGCTGCCAGACACCCAACTCCCACCAAAACAATCCCCTTCTTGTGTGCTCATGACTGGCCCTGGGGGCATCCCCCCGGAGCCCTTCCGGGGAAGGGGCTGGGGATGGGATATAAAGGCTCTATTTTTCCTGGGATGCTGCATGGTGCTGGGACCTCGCTGCCTCCTTCCCCCCCCCCCCCCCCCCCCCCCATGCTTTGCCATGCCGACGGCAGCTCGGCTCCTGCGGGAAGCTGCCAGTTGAATGCGCCCTCTCCCTGCCCAAGACTCATCTGCAGAAGCCCGGGAGGGTCCCTTGTTTGTCTTCAAGGTGTTGCACAAGCACCAGCTGGTCTGGCCACCCTGCGGGGACAAAGTCTGTCCCTGGGCAGAGCTGCTCGATGAGGCCTCCTCCTCCTGCTGCCTGTGCCAGCAGAGCCCGGCTCCATCCCAGCTCCATCCCGGCCCTGGCACGGCCAGGGGGATCACCAAGGTTGAGGGCACAGGATTTCTGGGAAGCAGGATCCCACACAGAGCCAAACCCAGGCTTTGGCTCGCTGCAGGACATGGCCCTGGTGTGGATGGATGCACATTGCCGGTGCTCATGTTCCCTTTCTTTCCCTGCCCTTGTGCACGTCACCAGTTGATGCCCGCCAGCTGCCCAGGCTTTCCTTCCTCAGTCCTTTTACAGTTAAACCCAGCGCCCATTCTGCTGCACCCCCTTTGGTGGCCACACACATAGGGAGAGGTGGAGAGGAGGGGGCAGGTCATGGATCAGTGCAAACCCCAGGGCAGGGTCAGCACCATCAGCAGCGGCTGAGACAGCGGCAAAGGGAACACAAACCCCAGGAGGTGGGGAGGACCCCCAGGGGTTTGGGGTCAGGCACGATGGGAGCCGCAGTTGGGCACTGAGTCCCCCTTGGTGCCAGCGATGCGGTCTCCTGGCTGTGCTGTGCCAACGGCCTTGCTCCCAATGCACGCCTTAGGGATGGGTTTGCCTGGGGAAGGCGGCGCGGGGCTGACGGAAGCAGGAGCAGCCCGAGAGGCTGCCGGGGAAGCTCTAATCCGTTTAGCAAAGCGCTTGCTTTGCCATTCCCGAGGCATGTGCCAGAGGAGATGCAGGCAGAGGCAGGCGGTGCGGCAGGACAGGCAGACAAGGGCAGCAATCCCGCTCCCTGGGATGAGCCGGGAGATGCCTTCCTCCCAAGGGTTGCTGCAGGATCCCAGGGGCTGCTCTGCAGGAGGCTCCATCCCTGCTCTCCCAGAGAGGGTGATATAAAATGGGGCAAAGCCCCAGGATGGCCCCGGCTGCTCCAGTGCCTTGGACGTGCTGCATCCCTCCTGCCCCAGGGAGGCACGGGCAGCCCAAACCATGCAGGTACCACCCCGGGGAGGGAGTAATGAGCCTCTTCCAGCCCCATGCACCCTGCAGGGACCCCACTGCTCGCTGCAGCGATCCCAAAATCACAGCCATAATGCCCCGTGTGCCTCCACAGCAAACATCCTGGGGCAAACGTGGGCTGGGGGGATGAGCACCGGCCCCTGGGCAGGCAGAGCCCCCCGGCAGCACCCAGGCTCAGCCTAAGCCGCCTTGCAGAGCCTCAGCTCCTGCCAGCTGCCCCGGTGCCGTGCCTTGCGGCTGAGGGGATTAGGGGAGCTCTGGGGGGTGCCCTGCTGTCAGCTTGGCCCCACAGCATCCGGGAGCTGCTGGTGCAGCTGAACCCCTTCGGCTGCGGGGCTTGGAGCAGGAGCCTGGGCTTCGCACCGGGTAAGACGACGTCAAACGCGTCCCAGGGACGTGAGAGGGGGATGCCAGCTCCCAGACCTGGCCGCAGGCTGTCCCCGCTGGGGTCCCAGCCCTTTATGCATCCACGGGGAGCAGAAGGGACCCCACACCCAGGGCTGAGAGCACCTGATCCACCAGTGGTGCCAGCCCCAGCCTGGCAGGGTGAGCACAGCCCTGGGGCATCCCTGGCCCCACAGTCAGTATGTGGGGCCAGAGCTGCAGCCCGGACCCCCCCCCCCCGGGAGCCCTGGGTGCCATGAGTGGGCTATGGGGTGATGGGCACAGCGTGCAGAACAGGGCTATGTGTGCACCAGACTGTAGGTGCTCTGGCAGGCACAGCAGCCGGGCAGGACCTGTGGGACCCACAACTGCCTTCCCACCCGACAGAGACACCACCAAGCCGGGAGGAACAGGTAAACCCGAAACCGGGGTGGGGTGGGGGGGCACACACTGGAGGCAGACAGTGATCCCCACTCAACAGAACCCAGCAGGAGCTGGGAAGTGCCTAAACGAGTCAGGGAGCTGCCCTGCTAAAGTGGGGTTCATTTCCCAACCAACAAGCGACCATCGGCACAGGTTGGAGCCCATTTCACCCCCCCCCCCACCACCAACCAGGAAGAGACTCAGGGTGACTGCACGGTCACAGCGCACCGAGCCCCGGCATCCCATCGCCATCGGGGGGACATTGCCACCTCCATCACCGTGTGAGCTGCACCAAGCCCCGGCCAACCCACTGATGCCAACCTCCCTCCTGGCCCCAAACCTGCCGGGAGCCGCATGGGGTGGGGGGTACCTTTGGACGTGGGGAACGCGGCAGAGCGGGGCTGGCTGCGTCTCGCCGGGGCTGGCTCTGCACATCGGCAGGAAGGTCACGGCAGATGGGGAGGAGGGGGGTAAAGATCAGCATGGAGATTAGGGAAGCATTTTTAGCCAACCAATCGCCGCCCCCGTGTAACGACTCCTTGGCCGCACAAGGTGAAAACGCGACCGTGGAGATGGAGATGGGGATGGATGGGAATAAGCCCGGAGCCCCGAGGCTGGCGGCGGTGGTGGCTGGGGGTCCCCAGCCTCCCCGTGCTCCTCTGTGTGTGTTCATCCATCCCCTCCCGTTCTTCCCTTGCCCTTCGAGCCTGCTTTGCACCCTGCCAACCAGGGACAGGTCGGGGGGTGCCCTGTGTGAAGCTCCCATGGGTCTGGGGTGTTCGAGGGGTGCTCAGACCTCCGGGCAGGGCAGAAGCAGCCGCGCTCTATGGGGGGGACACTGCACACAGGAACACAGCTCCGGTCCCTTTATCCCCCTGCCTGGGGCCACCGCATCTCCCCCCCCGGCTATGGGGCACAAAGCGGACTGTGCGCGGCTCCAGCGAGCCCCGAGCCCTTTGCCTGGGTGTGAGCGGGGCAGGGAGCACGTCGGGGAGCGCCGCAGCCCGGCTCCAAAGGGCACTGCCACGGGGATGGGCTGCGGGGGTGCCCAAGCGGGGCTCCTCTCCCCGGTACCCGCAGGGTGGCAGCGGGCAGCGCCCCACGGCCGGGGGGCAGCCGAGCTGGTCGGGCTCAGGAAGGGACGCGATCGCGGCGGAGGGGGGGGTGCGCGCCCGTCAGGCACCGCGGAGGGCAACCCCGCGCCCCATTTGCGCGCTCTGCTCAGGCACCGCCGCCGTCACCCTCGTCTACAGGGGACCTTCGGGAGGCCGGAAGCGGCCGCTCGGCGCCTGCCCCCTCCTTTCCGCTCTCGGGGCCGCCGCCGCAGTCACGGTGAGGCCGCGCTCGGGGCCCGCATCGGCCTCGCATCGGCGCCATCGCTCGGCGGGGCCGCGGGGCCGCTGCGGGGCAGGGCCGGGGAGGCGCGGCCCGGGCCCCCGCGGGGGCATTGCCGCGGTGGGGGGGCTCCAGCTCCGAAGCTGACGGGGCGGGAGCGGCCGCGGGGCGCTAGGCCGCGGGGAGGGCCCGCTACCGGGCAGCCAGGCTTTGGCGCTGTGGCGGCTGCCGGGGCAGGCCGCGGCGGGAGCCCCGTTGTGGCACCGGGCTGTCCCCAGCCCTGAGCACCGGCACCGGTTCCCGCTGCTCGAGGCAGAGCCTCCCGTTGGCGGCCCCTGCGTGTCGGGAAGCGTTGGCCCGCGGGGTGCGGCGGCAGCGGTGTGGCTCTGGTGCACGGGTATGGGGCTCGGGTGCGCTTCCGGACCCTCCGGGAGGGCAGTGTGAGCGGCTTCCTCGGCTCCGGACTTCGGTGGATTGACGAGAGCGGCACAACTGAGCCCGGGTCTGGGGCGGTGGAGCCGAAACAAGGCTCACCCCGAGCTATATCTCTGCCCCACTTGTGTCAGCCCTTGTCTCGGCTGAGAGCAGATCGTTCGTAGTCTTTAACACAGTGATGTGGTTTAATGTTAATGCTCAGAAGTTCAGATTGCTGTTTTCCTTCACAGCAAAACCATGGGAAGGGATGCCCAGCAGCCCAGGTGTTGAAATCCTTACAAACTAGCACTGGTTTTGTTTAGTTGCTTCTGGTAGACTCCTGAATGCGTTTACTTTAAATTGGCAGCATTTACTGTCTACCTCTAATCTCATTTAGATGTTGATGCCCAAGAAGAACCGAATTGCCATCTATGAGCTCCTTTTTAAGGAGGGAGTGATGGTGGCCAAGAAAGATGTCCACATGCCGAAGCACCCTGAGCTCGTGGACAAGAACGTGCCCAACCTCCATGTCATGAAAGCCATGCAGGTATGGAGGCGAGGGTCAGATGCCACCAGGCGCAGCCTGGGCACACCAGGGTGCTGCCTACCTGTCAGCAAGCATCATCAGCCATGAGCAGATAAACACAGTCAGAAGTTGCATGGGCTGTTTCTTTCCTATTACAGCTATTTCCCATTTTTCCTGATTTTTCCCATTTCCTCTTTGATTTATTGTTCCCCCCAGACCACAGGTTATTCTTTTGTGGATGCATCTGTAGTTCCCTTTCTGAAGCTGTGACCCCTGTGTGTGTGTGTGTGGTAGCCTTGTGTTTTTCACAGCGTAGAAATGATGCTGTAATTTAGACCTGTGCCTGTGAGCCCCCCACACACCCTCGATGAGCTCTTGTGTTCATAAAGCCATCTGGTGAGGATATTGATCAGAGGTGTTGAATGAGGATCAGGCTCAGACGTGAAGTAATGCAGAGTTCTCTCTCTAGTCTCTGAAATCCCGTGGTTATGTGAAAGAGCAGTTTGCGTGGAGGCATTTCTACTGGTACCTGACCAACGAGGGCATCCAGTACCTGCGTGATTACCTTCACCTGCCCCCTGAGATTGTCCCTGCAACCCTGCGCCGGAGCCGCCCAGAGACAGGCAGACCACGGCCCAAAGGTGAGCTGAGAGGGGGCTGTGCTCAGGAGGAGAAGAAGGGGACAGGTTGAGTGCGCTGGTGCAGGTGTAGTGCGCAGTCAGCTGGACATCAGCTTCCGGAGCAGAGCAGTGTCAGTTGTTGTGATTTTTGGACTTCTGAACGTGAGCAAATCAAGGAGACGTGTAGGTTTTACTGCTTCAGTATTTGGCACTCATCTGATGGCCACTGGCCTACTGAGAGGGGGCTAAAGAAAGCTGTGAGGCTGACTGGGTGAGCCGCTTTGAGTGAGAGACTGGGCTTGTGGTGACACTCGTGCCTGGAAGAGCAGGCCTGTTGGAACTGCAGGCTCTGGGTTGAAGCACCAGTTGGTTCCCAGACATGGCTGAGGTCTAGGACAAGGGATGTCTCTGGCTTTCTGGGGCTTTTCAGAAGTGGTTCTTGTCATTTGGGAAGGGCTTGCTGCAATTCTTCTCTGTTGTTTGGGAAGGAGGATGGTGTGTGTGCTGCCCACCTAGTGCAGCAGGAGCAGGGAACCTTGTCTCTGGCTGAGTTATACTTAGAAGAACTGCCTGGAAGGCTGGTGTGTGAAAGTTGAGTGGCTTTGGCTGGGGTGGGTGAAATGGGGAACAAACTTGGGGTGCAGGATTTGGTGACTGAGTGAAAGCCAAACCCTGGGTGGTGGATGTGCTTCACATGGGAGTTAGAGCTTGGTACCGGTGGGCAAGTTAAACATCCATAATTCTGGTTTTATCCTGTGTGTTTCTGGGCAAGTCCCATTATTAAAGCTCTCTTCACTTTTCTAAAGGTTTACAACAAACACGTATGATGTGTTGGGTGTGTAGCTGGTTTTGTTTTCGTGGTGGGTTTTCATACCCCAAAGTGAAGGAGATGGTGGTCATGCAAACAGATGTGCTGCTGATACTGAGTGCTCGCTTGCCTGCAGCTGCCTCTGCATGGGTGCCTCCCTGCAAAATGTCTTGTAGACCCACCTGCAGATGGCTGAAACCTGTTTCCAGAAGGTGTTCTGGTTGCAGATAGGAATATTAAATGATGAGATTCTGAGTTGCAAACCTGCCCCTCTAGGCCACCCAAGGCAGAGGGTACGCTTTTTCCTTGTGTATGCTTGGTATTGGCCTGTGAATGACTTGTGAACCATTTTGGTATCCTTTCTGGTGAGCAAAGTCATAGAACAGTGCAGTGTAAATAAACTTGAGGTGGATGTGCTGAAGCCACCATGCCCCTTGGTTCAGTTCTAAACAAGTTACTGTGTTCCAAGCTAGTAATTCGGAGTAGGAAGGATGATTATGTTGCTTGTATGTGCTTAGAGATGCTCTGCAAAAACCCTTACGCTTGGTTTTCCTGGTTTCTTCTGTCCAGCAGTAGAGAAGAAAACCCAGTGCAGAACATGGACAGTAAAATTGCCCAGAAGGTCTTGGGGGAGATAAAAACTTCTGGAAACTTAAGGGAAAGGAGGGAGAGAATCACTGCAGCTGTGGTTGGCAGGACAGCGTTGCAAGGTCTCTAGGGGCAAGAAATGCATCTTCTCCTTCAAGGCAGGTGATGGTAGGTTTGTCTGCCTTGTGTGGAGTTGCCTCTTGTGTTTACCAAGAATAATGTAGGATGTCACCCTGCCCATAAAGACCTACTCTGTGAGAGGGGAGGCCTGCATGACAGAGCTCTTGGTAGCAGTCCAGTCTTCCTGCTTCTGAGCTGTGTCATACCCCATTAGCAAGGTGCTAGATGCTGCGCTTCACCTCCATTGCCTGCAATTTGTTCTTTAGCTTAACAAAACTGTAGCATCATGTGCTTCAAAGGAAAGCATTGCATTGGAATTAGGAAGGTGTTGGTTTCTTTGATCTCTGAGAAGCTTTGGATGTTGCCAAATTTATTCTTTGGATGCTGTGTTTATCCAGCAAGCTGAAGAAATTATGTCTCTAGCGGGAGCGAGGGGCTAAAACTTGCTCAGGGTTTTTGCAGAGGGGCAGCTTCACTGTACAGCACTGCAGCCCTTCTCACGGCAGCGCCAGTGACCTCAACTGGTCCACACCTTGGCAGGGTTAGCTGGTAGGGCTGCACATACTGGCTGTGTTTCTGTGTGGATCACCTGCCTGCAGACTAAAGGTTGCAGAGCGTGTGTGGATGGTGGTGCAGAACTTCTGGGTCTTGCTTGACCTCTTGAGGTTTTGGGGCCTTTCCTCTACTTCCATGCAGTGCTCCTGACTTTCTCAAGTAAGGCTTGGTACAGAAGCTGAAGCAGTTAGTCTAAAGCAGGTTTCAGACTCCTGTGTGTTCAAGATTTGCAGTCTGTTTCTCTGTTACAGATGTAATTGAATTGTTAGAAATAAAGAATGAGCAAGTTTGAAGTTTAAAAAACCCTCCAAATCCATTGTCTCTGGGGTTTGCTCTTATGTTTTAACCTGACAGGAAGGATGTAAAAGCACTTGTAGGATAAGTTAAATCTGTTTGCATATCAGTGGGTGGTGTTTCTCTTTGTAATAAAAGCATCCATTATAAGTACTGTGTTTTTATGGGGGAAAGCTAGTGCCTATAGTATAAATGAAGCCTGTAGAAGTGCATGGGTCGTGTTTCTTGCTGTATGCTTGACACTGCTGGCAGCAACTTTAAATGTGTT